GTGCTCCTGCCAATGTTATGACTAAAGCCAAGTTGAACAAAAACCCGTCAGAGAATAACAGTTTGGTGAATGTACCAGTATAGCTTCTACAAATCCCTGGCCAGGATTTATTATTATGGTGTTTACCCATCGCATATTGCTTTGTTTCACGTAAGCCACACATTTCGATTTTTCTGATTAAAATTATCAAAAAAATCTGCATGTGGGATTCATGAGAGTACAGTAATCATAAAATATTAATAAAGCTGTAAGTCTGCACTCAGATGTATATATACGCATTCATACCTTCAAAAAGAATAAATAAATGTTTAAAAAGTTTTTAAAAAGAATTCAGGAAAGTTTGAGAAAAATTGATTTAAATAATATGCAATGATTTATGTAAATGTTATCTATATTAAATTTGAATTTAAATAATATTATAGGTGTCATGTAATTAAATTCCTTGAAAAATCCATATTTCTTGTATAAAGTATTTGAAATGTTCTTATAAATCTTTTTTAGGTTAAGAGGGCCACATCATAATTATCCATTTTCCATTTTTTTATATTCAATCTTGCATTGCTTTAGATTATCTGTGCATGTATCTTTGTGTAGAATGCTGTGTTATTGCAAGCAATGTTATTTTTTCTTGCAACTTGGTTTCTAAGAGAAGTCATCATTAGTGGAATTCTTTCCAACAAGGGATGTTGATAGTGTATCTGATCTTAACTTCTGTGTGGAGTATTTTATTCTGATAAAAGATCTTGGATACAGTTTTTAGCTTTGAAGATTTATTTTAATTAAAAATTTATATAAGTATTGCTGGAATTTTTAATTTGAGATAAATTTAAGTAGTGTGTTGTTTAAAATGCGTATTTAAAACTTTTAAAGAATTTTTAGAAAGTCAAAATATTCCCTTTTGGTTTATTCATGTTTCTTTCTTGTCTATGCATGTGCATTGATGTATTGGTTAACACAGATAACTGGAAATGCATATGTTTAATTTTAGAGCCTATGAGAATAAAAGTTAATTTTGTTTTATTTTAATGATTAAATGTTTAAGCAAGTAAAAAAATACTCCCATTATTTAATTTTCTGAAAAATGTGTTTTAATTTTGCTTTATAGAAATTAAAATACTTTATTATTTTTCCTAGCCAAATTAATCCACTTTCTGTGAGCACTAGATGTTTGGAATTTTACTGATATTCATGCTACAGTGCTAATAAAAATGTTTTTAACTAACAGGTATCTTGTTTTATTTCAGCACTCTATAAGGATGGAAAATTTTCTAATTGGAGCTTACAGATTATTAAAAGCATTACCTGAAGGAGGTGCTGCTATAGCATATTTAAACGCAGAAAATGAGTCTCTCAAGAAAACAATATCACGGTTGAAACAGTGTGTTCATTACATGGAAAAAAGATTTAAAGATCACGTGAAACAATCTGCTGAACGAGGTTACAATGCAGGTAACATTATTACATTGTGTTCTGTTATCCGTCCAATATTAAAATCTGTTTTTTGAAGACCAAGATGAAAGTTAATAATTCTATTTCAGTGGAAGGAAAACACAACATTTTCTGTCTATGAATGTTAATTTTTTTCTTGTGTGTTTTCGGCAGAAGGACATTTTTCTTGCTTTACAGCACCTTTTTCAAAGTTTACCATTTTGTGTATTCCACCTTTTTCATAGTTTTTATGAAAAACCAATACAATTGTAGTGTTATGATTTCGCCCTTGAAGATGCATAAAAAAATGAGTTATTTTTGTAATTGTGGGTTATTTTTATTAATCATTCTGTCATGGTGGTTTGTTGGCAAATCTGTTTTTCAAGTGTGGTTTTATAAGACTTAGGACAGTGGCTCTGAATATGAAGGAAGGAAAGAAAGGTAAAGTGTGATTTTCTCATACATTCTCTTGAAACCATGACACACACCTCTTGTTTATCAAAACAGTCAGCTACTTGCCTTTAAGGGCCCACGAGCAGTAAAGTCGCTGAACACTGGTAGTTCGGTCCGAGGTTCGAATCCCGCGAACGGGCTGGTTGCATGGGCATTTTCATGGTTTTCCCCATGTGTAATAATGTGTATACGAGCCAGTTTTCCTTAGAAAGTCCTCCACGAAGGCATCCCTCCCCTTAGGCAGATAGTCCTAGTGTGCTTTGCCATAATTAAATACACCACACCACTTGCCTTTAAGATCAAAAGGTTTTGACATGTTCAGAGGTAAATGTTTTGTAATTACGTGAATATAGGTATAAATATATATTTCTTCTTTTTATGTAATATTCCAAAGTATTAAGTGTGTGAAAGAATGTATTCTTAAACATTTCATTCTGAATGGAATTAAATGCTATGCTTTCCTTGTGCTCTGAGCAGTTTTAATTTAAATATCATTTTTTTCACAAGTTTTCGCTAATTACATTGGAAAGGAATTTTAAGGTAATTTGATTTTATTTGGCTAATGATTACAAAAATATAAACCAAAGTTTATTGTATTATTAACATTAAAATCACACAGCTATTTACAGAGCTTCTTTCTGAAATACTCTCTCAAATATGAGATCATTTTCAGCTTCTGGGGCATCTTTTAAATCAGAAATAATAGTCACTCTATAATTAGTGCTTTGTTTGGGTCATTGCAAGTTAGAGCACATTTTATTTTAAATAGTTAAATATTGCCTCTGATTTCTGTGCATTAACTTGATCTGTAAATGAGGAAAATAAAAAGGGAGTATTAATATTGTTTAAAACTTTTAACTGAATTATTGTAAATAGTAAGGAAATAATTCTTTTAATACTTTATCAGATTTTTTTTTTTCTTTTCTTTTCTTTTTTTTTTTTCTTTTTCTTTTCTTTTTCTCTTGATTTCAATGATACACATTCTCAAAATTCTACTTTACTACTTCCTTAAATACACTGCAAACACACACACACAAAAGGGGGGACAGTTCTATATCTCCTGTTCTACTTGGCCGATTGACGAAATTTAACTTGTGTTTTTCATGTCTCGACTTAGGATATTTATTAGATTTATATATAGAATTCTTCTAACATAGGTATTTTGACAAAAATCGGACTTTTTATGAAATGACATGCCAATTTTTTCATTTTTTTTTTCCAATATTTCGATTCTACAACTCAAAAAATAGGCCTAATATATTAAATTTTTGTAAATTTATTTGTGAAATTTACGGAGAAGGAAAAAATCAAGAAATTAAAATTCGCACAACTTTTTTTTAGTTTGCAGCAAGAAATAATTCACTAGGCAAACTTCCTAATTTATAGCAACTTATTTTCCTTCCCTTTTTTTCATTGAACACGAGGAGAAAAAAATCAGGTCATCATAAAGGTAATTTTTAACAAAATGCAAAAACACATTTGCATTATATCGTTTATAACAATATCCCAAATTCATTCAAACGTGCCAACATGTAAACTTCCGTATATCTTAGGAAATTTTGAATAACAAACTCTAATTTTTTGCAGGTATGCTTAGAAATACATCTACTTTAAGATGATGGGAAAAATTTTATAGGTTATTATTCAAAATTTCTTCAAAATAAAAATTATTTAAAAATACAAATTTTAAAAGTAAATCATAAAAAATGGGCGAATTATATTTGGATTAATCCTAAATTTCGAGTTCTGGACGATGAAATCAAGTAAGTTTAACAAAGAAAGAGATATTAATAAATGTGTATCAAATTCAATTAACATTGAGGAGCTAAAATTTTGAGAGCTAAGTTTTCAAAAATGACTTGTGCAGTTTTTACAAAACTTGGCAGTTTGGCGTAATTTGAGTCTTAGAATCGAAATATCGAAAACAATTGGCATGTCATTTCAGAAAAAGTCTGATTTTGTGTCAGAATACCTATATTAGAACAACGCTATATATAAAGGTAAATACATCTCCTAAGTCGTGCTTTTGGGACATGGAAAAATGCAAGTTGAATTTCGTCAATCGGCCCTGTAGAATGAGAGATATATAGCTGTCCCTCCCTTTTTTTGTGTAGCGTAAATATTTGATATGTTATGCTTTACAATATCTCTCAATAGATTGTTTTCCAGTACAATTCTTGCTTAAATATAAATGCATTTTTCCATCAGGGGTTAATGCTTACAATTAAGTGTTAAGAACATTATGTTTAGAAATTATTCATAATCATGATAAATTTAGTATATTTAATAAATAGATTTCTTCACAGTAACATTCACAGGAGTTTATGAATGAACAAATCCTTTGTCTGAATACATGTATAAATAATAAATAAATATTTAATATTTGAATTAAAAGGCAAATGCATATTTTTTACAAGGAGCATAAATATCATATATATAAGCACAATTTTTACATAAGATACATTATAAAATATACATTGAATAAATTATGTACATAATTTTTAATACACTACTAAAAAAAGTTTTTTTTTTCTTCAAAAATCTTTCATAAAATCTAAAGGCCTTCCCCACCAGCGGCCAAGCAGGAAAAAAAAATCGCTGACACGGGAGTCAGTCCGAGGTTCGAATCCTGCGAACGGGTTGGCTGCATGGTTGTTTTCGTGGTTTTCCCCATGTGTAACGTGTCTACGAGCCAGTTTCCCTTAGAAAGTCCTCCACGAAGGCATCCCTCCCCTAAGGCAGATAGCCCTAGTGTGCTTTGCCGTATTCTCAATACACACCACTACCCCTTAAGCAGGTAGATGCTTTATCCTATTTAAAAAACTTAACCTGACCTTGCAGATACTTTAGCATGCATAATTTTATTTTTACATTTAGCCATCAAGTTGCAAACTTTTGATTTAAAACTTGTTTTTGGATACATTTATTATCAAATTCAAATTTTCTAGTAAATATATTTTGGCAGAGCATTCCATACCTCTCTGAGAAATTTTACCCGATTTTAATAGTTTTCTGTTGCTATAATAAATAACAATTATCTATTTCACATTTGACATTAACCTCATTGTCATCTTAATTGCCTTTTCTGCACAACAATCTTGCTTCATTTTTTTAAACAGTTAAAATAACTAAGTTCACAAATATGCACATTGCAAAGAAAATACAAAGTATAACATTATGCAACATGTGTTGAAACAACATTAATGATCCTTTTTTTTTTTCATATTGTGAAACTGTTTTAAAATTAGCAGATCACTACTCAGTTTCTTCTCCTTTTATTAAGGATTAGGTAAAGAAACACAAATTGGTTTCATTTCATTTAACAGTATATGTATTGTATAACAAAGATTTTTCAGTCATAATTTTGTGTTCCATTCAGTCATCCATTAAACATGTTGCTAAATAAAATTTAAAAAATGAGATAGAGAACTTTAGTTTGGTATTTGTTCTCTACAACTCTGTTAATTACTGACCATGAAGAAAGATAAGTTTTGTATACAGTTGATGCACAGATACTGAATTATTTACAATATTTTTGTGAAAGTAAGTGTATATTTTGAGCAAATATTTTTGATGACTGCTTTTATTAAATGTAAAATGGGATTTTAATTGTTTGATCAGATAGCCTGGCTCAGTTAAAAGTAGGCGGCCAGTGTAACTCTGATTCAAAATCCATTTACGACCACTTGTTTCTGTGACTCCTTTGCCGATGCTTTATTTTTCTTCTTTTTTCCCCTTTCTAGTAATTTCGTTCTCCTGATGAGGAGGGACCTTTAGCTGCCCTCGAAAATCGATTGAGTGTTTTAATATATGTGCACCAAATACAAGGTTGTTATTGCGATTTTGATTATTCAGTGTTTCTATTCTTTTACTTTTGAATACGTTATTTCCCAGTGTTTCCATTCTTTTACTTTTGAATATGTTATTTCCCTTTGATCTTTAAAAACCTGTGAGGAATGATAATTTGAGCTCCAATCTGATGATCATTCAAAGGAAGCTTTAAATCCTATTTTTGTGTGAAAATTAAAAATTTTATCCTAAATTTCTATGTAACTTTAAAACTATTAAAAATTAAATTTAGGAAAAATTTAGAATTAATTTTAATAGTAAAATAAATTATTGTTAATAGAACAGAAATAAATTACTTCATTGATGAATAAATCTTTTCATTTCAGCCAGAGTTGTCAAATGTTTTAATAACAGGAGTATACAACAGTGTGCTGATAAATGTAATGCAATTTATCATGAATATGACCTGAAAGTGAAAGAAATAGAAAAATCATTGGAGAAACAATATAATGAAAATTTAGAATCATATGAAAGATTACTACGGTCTTTAGAAAGTGATAAACGTCGTCTAGAATTGCAGAATTTGAAATTACGGGTAGACGTTGAAAATTTTAAAACAGCCGTGAAAACCGCAGAATTTCAAAGCAATCAATTATTGGAAGAAATTGAAAAATTTAAAGTAAACAAGGAAACTGTAGAATTAGAAAACAAGAAATTATCAGAAGAAATTGAAAACCATAAGATAAACAAGAAATATGAAATAAATGCTATTATAAAAGAAAAAATTGACAGCGAAAGACTCAAATGGGAACAACTAAAGAATGAAGAAGTTATGGAAGCCAAACGTGCTGATTGGGTAAGTTGCAATTAAAAGTTATTATTAGTTTTATTTTCAATTTTCCTTCTCTTGGATAGCTGATTATTAGGATAAAATAAAGAAATGCTGTGTATAAGAGTGTGGTATTTTGGTCTTAATTAATTCCTATTTTATTTTCATGTAATACAGTACAAAGTCCGAGATCCGGACTTGTCAGGACTTCGTCGTTTCTGGATTTGGGATTTTCCCTGATATTAGATCACTAGTTTAAATCTATTGAGATGGCACGTAGAAATTATAAAATTAAAAATATGAAATTGTGATTTATGAAATAATTAAGCATTTATGATCTAAATGGTATCAAAGTATTAAAAAAAGACTTAATATTTGTTGTACTTTATTAAATATTTCTTTCAATGAAAGTTGTTTAAGTTGCTTTGTTTTTTTATGCTAATACTTTCTTTTTAATTCTATAGACAGCCATAATTTTGCATTTAATTACAAAGTTCCATTGTTCAAGTTTTGTACTTACTGTGTTTGAAATTTTCAACTAATTTGTCAGTTCAAATTTTCTCGTTTTCATTAACCTCTTTGTCCACCTTCTTCACTATTGGTAGCAGTATTTTCTGGATCTAGAACCATATAACAAATTTTGCCATCTGTTAATTGATTGATAACTGGAGCATTGTCATCGGAATGAAAAACTTCTGTCATCTTCATTTATTACTGTTTCTCCAAAATTTCACTCTGGTATAGTTTGCTTAGTTATTTATTATACTTGCGTATATTTCTTGCACATGCTTAAGGCTTATCTGAGTCCTCAATAAATAAATTCCCACATATAATTGAGTAAAATCAAGAAGCAAACAAATTTGGTGTACCCATTTTCATAGGGAGTTAGACCCCCCTTTTCATTCCAGCTTAGGCAGTGATCAGTCCTGTTTGGTTCTAAAGTAGAGAAATATATTGTTTTCAGATTTTACCAAATTTGGCTGATTTTCCAAAAGGGGAGTAACATATTGTTGCTTAGAGAATCGCAAATGACAACAGAACTTCCAAATGGGACTGATAGTAGTTCTTAAGATCACATTAAGTCCAGTCATAAAGAATGTTTTGGAGAGTTTAGGTATCATTAAAAAATATATTACCTGTTGAAAAATCTCAGAGATAAAGATTTGTATCAAATTGAGCATAGAATTATCAATAGTTATTCCAAAAATAAAACATTGGTTTTAAAATTATTTCATGGTAAAATGATACGTATTACATCCTATAGTTTTATATAATTCTTTTAAATATGTTTCTAATAATTAATCATAATTATTATTCCTAATGCAGTTTTAGCTATTGAATATTTTGCTCACATGTGCTGAAAATGTCTTATTCTTACAGCCCCTGATAGCAGGTTGCTTTGGATAATGAGCCATTTTTACCTGTCCCAAGAGCAACCTCTTAAATAGATTTGACTATATATGAATTATTTATATGAAATAATCTGGATGTTGGAGACATGTAGACAGTATTATTCCTAGGATTTTTTTGGAAGAGTAAAAATACTCCTTGACTTTTTTAGGAGTGAAATTCATTTATGAGGAGTAAAATACAGAAATAGCATACACTAACTACATATACAGAGACAAATTTTCCATAAAAAAAACACTTTTTTTAATGGACAAAATGAAATAGAAAAAAAGATGCTATTTCGGTTTTTGACAATTATAGCATATATTAAGTATTTTGTAGAAATATTAAACATTATAAATAAAAGAATTTTTTTTACATTAATGTCTAATTCAATACTATTTAATATTATATTTAATATTTTAATATCCTTTTCCTCTGATTTTTCCACTTGTTTCCACAATGTTACAAGCTGATTTCCCTTGCAATTTCAAAACTCTTTATAATTCTCAAAAACATTTCTCTTTCAAAAAATTAAAAAAAGTCACAAAAAACATTTAATTCTCATTTAATCCTCTTTATTGCAATTTTTTCTCCAATAATTTTAAATCTCTTTTTTTTTTCTCTCTTTTTCCCCTGATTTCCATACAATATCATAGCTCTTTTAAAATTAAAGTCGCAAAAAACATTTTGCCTTAGTTACATTACAATTCTAATGTCCTTTTCCTCTGTTTTTTCGACAAGGTTACTGCTCTTTCAAAATTAAAATCACAAAAACATTTCCCCCTTTGTTCTTTGAAATCTGGGCCTTGCCCAGATATTCTTGTTAGAATTTTCAGTTGTTTTCCCCCCAATCTATTTTCTTTCTCCTATTTTATCTCCTTTTTGATCTTCTGAAACTATTTTGATTAGAAATTTCTTTTTATTGCAACACATAAAACAACAAAGGCATTCAAAGTATTCCTCATATAGCTATTGTGCCACAAGGCTGTAAATCCTGGATATAAGAGTTCACTTTCTAAACTTAAATGAAAACTACAAATTGGCAAACTCTTTAAATTTGAATTCTTTGTAGCATGCATAAAACAAGGTGGTTCTTCAAGGTGCTTTTGCTTTAACTCTTTTGCTGAAACACTCAAAAACGAAGTAGAATCTGGCTTATAATAATGTTTAATAACATTATCTAGGGACTCCAATCTTGATGATTCTGTTGTAACACAAGAGGGATTCAACAAAACATCAAAATCTTGCAAAAGTTGCATCTGCTGAAATTAAATCTTTCTTGCAGATTCTCTATCACTGTACTCAAAAAAGCATTTTTAGCACTCATGAAATCATTTAAACATTTAGTAAAAATGGAGAATTTAATATCTTGAACTCGATAATACACATTAAATAAAATCCCTCATTTAGAAAACTCCTTAAAACTTTAAGATCTCAAAAAATTCCTTTAGATGAGTGCCATGACCTTCCTTCCTTCCTTTTTCATTTCCTGCTGCATCGATTAATAGTTTGATTCTAATTCTAAACTGTTAAACCAACTCGTAGTCGAATCCATATCATTTACTACTCTGAAAAATTCTACTTTCTTTGTTTCATAATCAGTAACACATCATTCTCAGCTCTCTCAAAAATGACAAGGTGTCTGCAAATGAAATTGTGGAGCATTGTTTTCAGTAAGTGTCCTGAGCCCTTTTCCATAAGATTGTTTTTTTCTGTTTGCAGTTATGTCTGTCTGTCAGGGCAAAGATCACAGCATCATAACTGATATGACATGCATCAGCTGCATTCCCAAGTGACAACCACCGAACAGCATGCATGTCTTTGACAGTTATGTTTGGCTCATTTAACACATCTTGCATCAATTTCAGCTTTTCAGTCCTAATATTGGGCATGTGAAAATAAGCATACAATGAACCTAAAATTCTCTGGCAGCTTGGAAACAGGGATATTCCATCAGCAGCTTGGGAAACAGCTAAAGCTAAATGGTGAGCTATGCAGTGATAGTGCAACAAACCAGGTGTAATACCCTGAAATTTTTTGCCAAGTCCGTTGTTTTTTCCCATCATAACCGCAGCAAACCGCAGCACCATTTGTTGAAAGGCCAACAACTTTTGATAACGGTAATTTTTTTAGTTGAGAAACTTTATTACTATTTCTTCCAATGCATCTGCATTGCATTCACCCGATAATTTTAAATTTGCCCAAAGACTGTTTTGACTTTTATTGTTTTTCAAATATTTCACATATATAATTAATTTATGGTCAACTGAAATATCTGTTGACTCATGTACCGTTAAAGAAATATAGGGGCCTTGTGAAACATCCTCATCCAAATTTGATTCTAATACTTCCAAAATAGCTTTAGTTATGTCTGTAACTGAAATTTGAGATAAATTCAAGTTAGTCTCTTTCACAGTCTCATTTCCTAGTGATTTCATAAGCATCATTAAAGGTGTAAATTTTGTTAAAGGGAGTTCTTCTTTTCCAATAGTGTAAACAGTTTTGAACTCTCGCCATCTGTTGCTGTAAAATTTTCCTTTTTCGACGACATTTTCAAGAGATTTAGCATCTTTCTTGGCATTTAAGGAAAGCCTGTATTCCATAGTTTTTTCATGGCAAAACAAAGTACTTCTTTGGAAACATGATGAACCCATCACTCCCATGCCATGCTTCATATTGGCAGATTGACCATGTTTTACAAAACATATTATTTTTCTCTTTATTGAAGAGGACCCAAGGAAATTCTTTAAGCCTCTTACTTAAAAACTTATCATGTTTAGAAGTAGTTTCTTCTGTTGTTCATCAATCTTTGGTTTCTTAGCTGACGGTTCTGAGCTGATTGACACTTGGCTTGACGGCTTTTTTTTAAAAAAACTTCTTTATGGATTTAGAACTCAAATTTAAGTATTTAAAGTAGTTTTTCTCCTGGAATAATTGCTTTGGTCTCAAGGGGACCACCCTATTGAATTAAATGGTTTTAAAAAATTAATTAGAAACTAAAAAATATTTTTGATGTGCTTCTCCTATAAGCTGATCACTTGTAGAAATTTTCGTTTCATTTTGCAGACTGTATGGCATTTCTTAAATTTGAAATTTTCTTCATATGTGATCTTAATTTCGCTTAAAATATTAATTTTTATTTGAAAGGAATTTATTTTATGAGAGCAAATACAAATTAAGTTGTTTTAAGTGCGACATTTAGTTAAAATCAGTAATGAGTTTGGCGATCTTGTGCCATCGAATTAAAACAATAATAAAAATTATACTTTTCTCTTACAGAATATTTCAAGAAAACAAGAGTATTTACAGCAAGGTTTGTACAATTCGAAAAAGTACTTATTTTTGCCCAAAAATCGGTAAAAATCTCAAAATTTACGCAAAATACTGATTTTTGAATAGATAAATGTCAGATAAATATTGATTTTCGCGTGGGGTGACTCTTACACGAATTAATTTCATATAACCAGAACGTTGTCTCGATTTGCCCACTAGAAGATCGCAAGGAGATGTCTGTTTATCACAGCTGACAATTATCTATGCGATTCCAATTTGTGTACCGAAAAATGTGATAAAATTGCTATTTTTTTTTATAACGAAAAGATAGCAATAAAACACCCAGATTTGCGTTGTAAAACTAGTGAAGATCATGATTTTTTAAAAAGATTGGAATTAAAATTTTATTTTTTTGCTCTGTAAAATTTGGACCTTTTTTTCTGACTAGCGCAGAATAATGAAAGAATTAAAAATACAAACACTATAAGCATAAAAATAATTTAAAGGCATATTAGAAATCATGACAGAAAAATTTTAAAAAACTTTAAAATTTTACAAAATTAAAAAAATTTACCTTTATATATGCTTTTACTTGCCTTCAACTTTCTGAAAACAGTGCAAAAGATTTTTCCAGCTTGTAATGTGAAATTTCACCGAACTCCCAAACCACGTGTGTTGATAGGCAATTCTACTGTTCGAATGACCATCCAGTAACATGGAATGCATGCCGAAATTGGTGCTCATAAATATACAATGAAACTTCAATTTCATTATAAAATTTCCATTATAATCAATTTCATTATAGTCAGCTTCTTTCTTCTACCCTCGCCATGATCGCTGAGCCACGTTGTGCCGCACGTTAGGTGGTGTTTTGAGCAGAAAAAGTATTATTTGTTTATTTCGGATTGGCGCTATGCATTTTTAAAGCTAAACCTTTGTTCAAAATTCAATGCGTGAAAATATGCCTAGCTAGTTTTCTAAAGCGTACTTATGATTTTCAATGCGGGAAATACGCTCTCAGAGGAGTTAAAAATATCTCTGCATGTAGATATATGTAGTAGTTGCAGTCATGCTGGCTGATTTAATACTTTTTTTCCCATTAACAAACATTTTTTATGCCTTACCTGAAGTGAATAGTACTAATTTGTAATTGTGTCTTGCCTTAGGCAAATAGTTTTCACACAATTTGTGTAATTTACCTGCCTACCCTAGCACTGTTTAAAATGCTTGAGAAATGAAATGCAGCATAGTTTATTATATACCTAACCTAACCTAGCATGGTTTAAAATGCTGGAGAAATGAAATGCAGGGTACTATGATCACAGTCTTACAACTTTGGGTGAAATATTATCTCATCTTTTAAATTTAGTGAATATTAGTCCAAACGACTGAACAGAAAATGCTGATATTTCCTGTTATTCCCTTAGTTTGTTTGTTTATTTTTTTAGAAATTGAAAGTAAATTTATTAATTGTTGCTATAAAATTTTTAACTAAAAATGTCCTAAATATGGCAATTTATTTCTGTTTATTATAATTGATTACTGTCAGATTTCAAGTGAATTTGTATTAAAAATAAAAGTTTTTTTTTCTGTTTATTTTCTAGTGTAACGTTTGCTTGAAGTCGGCTGTTATTCATTGTTGTTGGAATACAAACTACTGTAGCAATCAATGCCGTCAGAAACATTATGAAAAACATTCACGCCACTGTCTCAATGAAGAAAGTAAGAAGGCACCAAGTGCTTCGACAGCATCTGCAGAAAAGCGTAAAAATTTCACACAGCGTTCAAATATACAGGTGAGATTTATTTTCGTGGGCTCTGAGGGAAAAAAATGGTTGCTAATGCCTCAGAAGGTTAGACTTTCGCAGTCCTTCTGAGAGATTCATTTATGCTTCAGTTGATGCCTTATTCATAACCTCTAAAGATTCCGAGAAATATTTCAGATATTTGCTTATTTTCAAAACTTCAGAGATTTGGACTTTGCATATATGTTTCAAAAGACACCTTTGGTCAAACATCTATTGATTTCTTAGGTTTCCATTTTACTAAAAATAGAATAGAACCTTTTCTTGACGAAGACAAATATATTTTTAGATTTCCTTCTACCAATTAGCTTCAGTCAATTTCACCAATTTTTAGGCATGTTTAACCTTTAACAGATGTTTCATAACTAAAACAGCATAGGTTCTTTCTCTTTCAACAAAGCTGCTAGAAAGACACACCAATAAAAAGAAATTTCATTCTGTTTGGGATTTATCTGCATAAATACCGTAATTTCTGGAAGAAATGCCTCAACGCTTACGTGTTTAAAACTTAAATTTTCAGCGTGTGCGGCGTTTCAACCCATGTGGCGTTTAGGTGCACTAAAAATAAAATATTTCCTATAATGGTCATTGTACATAGTTTGGATGGCCTTGTCATTGTACATAGACTGGTGCTGTTCCCATACAAAAGACCACTCAGTTGCTTTTTGCCAACATTATTTTGTTTACATTCTTTCCCTTGAACGTGCCTTATTTCCCCTTCAGCATGAATTGATTTTTCTTGGCAATCTGCCAGATACAGATCCCATCAGTTTGGGTGCAAGTACTTATTGGATAGTTTTAAGTAAGAAGGGAGCAGAAAATTTTTGAAAATGTCACCTAAACGGCACAGAAGCTATACTGCTGGTTTTATGCTTAATGTAATTTCACGTGCTGAACAAATTGGAAATAGAGCAGCAGCTCAAGAGTTTGAAGTGGACAAGAGATGTATTCGACGTTGGAGAACTGAAAAAGAATTTTAAAATATGCCACAACAGAAACAAGCCAAAAGAAGTGGTACTGTAAGTTGGCCAAATCTAAAGGACGACCTTGCAAACTGGATAAAGGAGCACTGAAGAAAGGGAATGGCAATTCGATTGTAAAAATTCGCTTGCAAGCAAAATTTATAGAAAAACAAATGAACATAAATGATTTCAAAGGAGGGCCTTGCTGGTGTAGCAGATTTATGAAAAGAAAAAATATTCCTGTGCGTACTAGAACAGCAGTCGGGCAACAATTACCAATGGACTGGCAGGATAAAAAGGAATCTTTTCTAAAATATGTGACAGATATTATTGACAAAAAATAACTTCTTCGGTCACAGATATTAAATATGGATGAACGCCGTTAGCTTTCGCCTCTCCTGCAAACAGAACTGTTGATGAAACTGGTGCAAAAAATGTATCTCTATTTATGACGGGGCATGAAAGAACGTCATTTACATGTGTGTTAGCTTGGGCCGCAAACGGTGACAAGCTAAACCGATGATAATTTTTAAATGAAAGACTATTCCGAAGGGAGATTTTCCTAATGACGTAATTATTTGTGCAAACGAGAATGGCTGGATGTGCAAAACAATCGTGCATGAGTGGCTACAAAAAGTTTGGCAGTGTCATAAAGGATCTTTTTTCCAACCAAAAGTATTATTGATAATGGATTCCATGCATGCTCATTTACTTGAGTTAGTGAAAACCAGATGTCAAAAATTGTCTACGACCATAGCAATAATTCCTGGTGGTTTGACAAAAATCTTACAACCATTAGATTTTTCAGGTAATAAATCCTTCAAAGCTGAAGTCCGAAAGCAGTGGGAGTGTTGGATGAATGAAGGATTGTATGCGTATACCAAAAGTGGTAAAATGCGTAGAGCATCTTATGAAGAGGTTGCAAAGTGGGAAGTGCGTGGAAATTGGTAAAATCATCGTTAGTAATTGCAGGGTTCAAAGAAGCTGAAATTATATCCTTAGATAAAGAGACACCAAGAGGATGAATGTGACGATCTGGAAGACTTAGATCATGATTTACTAAATCTTTTTAATTCAGATAGTGAAGAAACAGATTTTGATAACTTCATATGATGTATAGTTTGCTGTAATTCCTTTTGTAAGTAAAATTTAAAATTTCCTTTTGTCATCCAAATTTAATATTCCATTGTTGCAACTTTTTTTTATAATATAGTCTGAGTATTACAAATTTAGACTTCTTTAGTGGGTAAATATAAGTATATATGTGAACGTAAATATATTTTCAACATTTCTTACTAATTTATTTTTGAGTTATGGTTTCATTTCATGCATTTTTCTTAACTGATATGTCATATATCAGGATTTTGGTTGAGATTTTGCATCTATACGGCCCACGAAGATGTCACGCACAATTTAATCTATTGCGGCGTTTCTGTGTAATTTAAATTTTTCCCCTGCCATTTTTCTCAAGTGCGCCGTTTACGCTGATGCGGCCTTCCTTCCGAAAATTACTAAATTTGAACATTTAGGCAACCCTTTCGGGACACCGTATTTTCGGAGCCCAGCTGAGCATCTATATGAATTTTTCAGATGTTATAGTTAGTGGCCATTGTCTGCGGAACATGGGAACCTGTAGCATTTTTTTTATTAAATGGTCCGTATACGACAGGGAATTATTTTCAGTTTGTTCTGCAATTAAGAAACTCCAGCACATGTTAGAAGGCAAGATTCCCACAATTCCACCTTGGCAGTTATGGCATTTAGATTTCATATCCCAGTATCCCACTGACATTAGGCATGTGCAAGGTTCTAAGAATGTCATTGACAACACTCCCCCCCCCCCCCCCCCCAAAAAAAAAAAAAAAAAAAAAAAAAAAAAAAAACCCAGAACAAAATCTCCATTTTTGGATTTTCAAACATTTTTTGAAGCCAACAGCATGATCCAGAAGGAAAACAACTCATCATCTTTGAAGCTGGAATTTAAGCCAGTGCTCTGATGGACATATTCTTTACGACAGCTCTACAGAAGTTCCTAGTCCTTTTGTTCCAAATTTTTTCCTCTGATTTTTCTTTAGTCATCTGAATAATTTCTCATATTCAGTAATTGCAACTGTTATAAAACTTATTTGTTCTTAATTATGAATGGCCCAATATGAAGCAGCATATCAAAAACTGGGTAAAATCTTGCAAATCTTCTAAAAAATGGAAAATACACAGATATAAGAAAGGGCACTTAAAGCCATTCTCTCTTCGTGATGTACACTTATTAGGAATCCACATGGATATAGTTTTCCTGTTACCATCAGAAGGTAGCATGTACTTTTTGACATTAATAGATAGGTTCTCCAGATCTGATCTCCAGACCTATTCCAGATATGAAAACTAGAACTGTGCAGAGCTATTTTAAACACATGGCTATGTTTGCCACTTGGTCATAACAACTGAACGAGGTTCTCAAATGAGATCCAGAATGTTTGCAGAGTTTGCACATGTTTTGAATATAAACAGAATCAGAATTTCGACTTACCATCCAGTGTCAAATGGCATTCTTGAATGCTTTCACTGACATTTAAAATCCTCTTTCAAGGCTCAAAAAACCAATAACTAATGTGAAGTACTTCAGGTATTGTGCTTGGTATTTGGACAGTCATTAAGAAGGATTTACAGGCATGATGCGGGGAATTGGTGTATAGTACAGCTGTAATGCTGCCTAGTGATATAATAACAACATCTAAGATCTCTTTGTATGATAGATACTCAATTTAGAGTGTGTCCATCATAGAATGCAACAAGCATTATCTGTATTGTCCTGCTATATATTACATAAATTCTACATTAACCACTTGTGCTATGACTAAACTTCATGGTTGCGGTGCCGTGTACTACAATATAACAAGCAGTAAAGTGTGTCATTTACGCCGCACTGCATTTGCAAGTGCAATCCAGAGCTGTAACTCAAGAAATAAACAATCTCGTTGTTAGGCGACGTGTGCATCACATTATTTTCATTTTTGCGATAAATGCCTATTGACGCGGTGTTCACGTCGCTCGCGCTTTGAGACAAAAGCATCTCGACGTACGTTGCATGTCTTTTTAGCACAAGTGGTTAAACTGTGTGCATGTGTAAACTTGCATTTCAGTGCCTTTGCTATTTCAGCAGTACTCATATCCACACATAGTAATTACGAGAACGGACAAAACTTTTACAATTGAAATTAAACAGCCTTAAATCCACTGTGTAAAACAAGCCTATTTGCTTTCAGACTTTGATTTGCCTGTACTCAAACCAAACCAGAAACTTAAAAGACAGTTCAACAGAATAAATCTACTACTGGACTCTCTAGAACTCTAACTGTGATAAAATTGGACTGACATGTTTTTTCCAAAGAAATGTCTTAGTTACAATTTAATTTTCCCATTTATTATTTCATTTCTGTATTTGTGCATTCCAATTGAAATGCACATAACAGCTGTTGAAGAGCATGGATTTGAAGACTTGAAATAAATGTAATTTTTTTTTATTGTATATGATATCTGATTGAAGTTCTGGATGAATACCATGGACAGTGCAAACCACAGTGGTAATCTATACCTATCTACAGCAGGAACAAACATGTTGTATGTTTTACTTTTCATTTGGCTACAGATAGTATCATTAAAATTCTCAATGAAACAGTGAGGCAACACTATTTATCATGTATTTATAATGAATTTTTATATATCACTGATTTCAGCTTAACCAAATATTTTATCTGAATTCTTAATTAGGTGTTCAAGTATTCAATTATTAAGATTTCATTGAAAATGAATTTATACTACAGTTCATTTGAAAATAAAGTAGCGATTTCAAGTAATAAGATATTGTTTCATATATCAATAAAGGCAGTACTAAAAGTCTTTTCTAATTTTTGGAAATCATTTTCAATCTTCTGAAATTTCATCACTGTCAATTGAATGAAAGGTGAATAAGGAGGCACATTCTCTCATTCAACAACTCGGGGGACTAGAGAACTGTTAACTAGGAACTAG